GGATGCAACCAATGTGCTCTACTTAGTGTGCAACCAACTTAACCTACGACCAATGCCCGGCTGACATTGGCTTTGCCCCTGTGCAAAAGCTCCCTACACGATGCTCGGTTTCCATGTCTCAAAGGCGGCTCGAGCAGCCCTTTGTGTTTCACTTTTTGACCAAGTTTCATTTCTTTCCCCTTCATCTCCTGCCTCTTTATTTGTTTAGAGCTTTATCTCTGGGATTCCAATTCCTCCTCGGGAGGTTGTTGCATAAGTAGCCTCCATACTGATTGCAAGGGTTTTAATTTGGTAGCTTTCATCTTAAGCTGTTTCTAAGGCACTTCCTCATTTGTTTAAAATCACCCTGCCTAAAGCTTGCGAACTGTTTTTCTCACTTGATACTTCCCAAAGGGCTGTGGGGCTTAATTAGAGTCCCTGCTCCTTTGTGGTTCAATGACAGTGTCTAGATTAAGTCAAGAGTTGCCACTCCACTTGTGTGCCCCAGACCTCTTTGCAGCAATGACATTCCGACATCTCCAATGCGATTTGGGTCTCAACACTCAGGTGGATACAGCCACTTGTAACTGTTCTCTTAATGGCTTTGCAGCCTCCCTCTGTCCTCCTGGTCCCTGGGCTACCTGTGTGTGAGAGCCAGGGGCACACAGAACCCAAGGGGACAGGACGAGGCTCTTCCAACCAAGGTGAGGATGAATGCATCCAACAGAGAAAGACCCTTCTTAGGGAATGGGGGGGGGGCTAGGTCGAAGGGAGAGCAAAGCAAGGAGCATGAGCAGAGGAGGGAAGGGGCCTCCACAGGCACTTTTCAGTCCCCTTGGTTGGTAATGGCAACCCTGGTTGCTCAGGATTGGCCTGGGATGAATGCACAAGGGAAAAGTCAGAGCTGCTGGAGGCCATCCAGAGCAAGGAGAGTGTCTGTAGGGCTGAGGCTCCAGATAGGGAAGGAGGCTGTAGGGCGAAGGAGGGCTGGCCTGGGGGGCCACGATGCACAAGGGGCACCACAGTCAAGGGTCCGAGGTGACCCTGTGGAAGTCCTCCAGGAAAGATGTCTGTCCCAGCCGCTACCTGAGCTCTGGCATCCCTTGCTCCACAGGGGAGACCTCCTCTGCCCATCAGACTCCGACCCCTCTCCCTTCTGTCATCCCCCTTTCTGGTACGGGCCCCCACCATCCTTTTCTCCTCCCTGATGGTGCCTCCATGGTCAGGGTCAACCCCAGGCCAGCTCTCACATCCTTTGCAGTGGGGGTGTTTGCCTGAGCCCCACCTCTGGTTTACAGGATGTGATTTATGCCGATTTAATTGGTGTTGGTTTAATTGGCTCATCCAGCTCCCATATGTGTTGGGAAGGGGCCAGGGAGACCATTAAAGGATCATTACACATTACAAGTGTCTTTCTCCATCTCCTCTCTGCCACTCCTTTTCCTCCCTTACATTTTAGGGAGCCAGGACTCTCTGGCATGAGGTGGGAAGCTTTTTTTGGGAATCCTGACTGTGGGAATCGTGTTGGAACCAGACAAAATGGTAACTTGTACTTGAAGCCACATCTGCAGTGCCCAGTACTCCCCTTCCCCACTGATACCCCCCAGGCAAGGACATTCTGCAGGGAAGACACAACCCAACACCAGTGACGGAGAACGGGATGTTATACTCTTGGGGAGCATGAAGGGAGAATCCAGGATGTCAGGATCCCGTGTGCTCTTCCCCGTTACATACAGAGCTCCAGGCTCTGCTGTCACGCCTCAACCCTTGTGGGCATCACCCTGATGTCAGCTGCTGTTCCTGGATGCAACCGGTCCCTACTCCAAGGCAAAGCTGCCATGCATCCGTTCCCTCCTGGCATCCTCTAAGACTGGGGTGGAGAGCAAACCACCACTACTTTTCCCCTCCTGGAGCTCCTCTGATGTCCAAGCCTCTGTTTTGTGCACACCCTCCTGTTCACACACATCCACAGCCCCTTTGCTAGTGTGCAGCATCCCCATATCATGATGTCTCCTCCCATTCAGTCACCTTTTCCACACTCCCTGCTACGCCTTACACCACAGCCAGCAACAGGGCTGTCTCCAGCACGCCCTTCCTGCCCTGTGTGCCTCCTGTATCCCAGGATCTGCCCCTGCTGCCAGCATCCCGAGGCAGAACCACGCACTCAGCCAGCTCCCAGGCTTTAAACCCCAGTTCAAGAAGTGCCCTGGTGCTGCACTGAGTGCCCTGCAGCAGCGCAGATGTCTTCTGAGCTAAATAAGGGAATCAGCCGGAGCTGTTAAGTTCTGTACCCTGTGGATGCTGCAGGGAAGAAAGTGTCAATTATGTGCATTATAGCAGGAGCCCCACTACGCCAGGCACTGCACAGGCACCGAGGGGAGCAGCAATGCCCTGGGCCAGGGATTCACAGCTCCCTGAGGGGTGCTGTGGGCAAGCAGCAGAAGCTTTGGGCTTTGCCTTGACCCCTGGCTCCCTTCAGGGTTTTGCTGGGGGATGCTTCCCTCTGCAATCCCAGGACTGTGGGGCAGGACACAGAGGTGGGGGTGACATTCCCAAGGCTGCACAGAAGGGTCCCTGCTCTGCCTTCCACAAGAGGAGGGTGAACTGAGGGATAACGCTCATGGTCCTCCGCTCATCCCAGAGCTGCCGGTGGAAACCCAGTGTGGAAGGAGAGTGGAGCTGGAGCCCTGGAGCCAGGCGAGTGCTGAGCACGGGTGCGGGCTCTGCGAGGAGCTGGCTGGGGAGCCTGGTGCTGATGCCAAATTGGCACGGCCCAGGCGGCAGCCCCAGTCCCAAGCCACCCAAGCTGTTGGGAGTGGGTATAAAACAGACCCTGCTGGCCGGTCCCCAAGGGGAAGAGCTGGCTTGGGCAGGAAACATCATCGCTGACATTTAAGAGAGGGGGAAAAGCGCCCAGTTGGCAGGCGGGGAGAGCAGCACCCGGTGCTCCCTCCTCCCCCTCAGGCCTGCAGTCCCCTTTCTCATGCCTCACCACTGGCTCCGTCTCCCACTGCTGTTTCCCTTCAGCATCTGCAAAGCAGCCCACGGCTGCCGTGCTCCTGCTATGGATGCCCACTGTGACTGGTGGAATTACTCGGTCCTGGCTCTCCCCAGCCTCTCTGGAGCAGAGCCATCCCTGCGGATCACACTGCACCAGCCACAGGATCAAGGGTGTTCCCATCCCAATCCAGACATGAAGGGCAGGGTTGGCCAGGGATGGGAGCTGAACTTGGAGCTCATGCTGGGTCCTGGGGCAGGACCAGCCCTGTCCTGCAAGGGAGTACGTGGGAGAAGGATGCTGTGCACCAGCCTGGCTGTGTTTATGGAGGACCACAAGCTGAGGGGCCCATCCTTAAGCAACACCCTCCCTGCAAGTGAGCATGTGGGAAATCCCATTCCACCAGGCTGGGAGCCAGGGCAGCCTCCAAACTCAGCTCCCAGTGGGCGGCTGAGCCTGACTCAGTGGGAGCTGCAGCCCCGCTCCACAGACAGCTCCAGCTCCCCAGTGGGTGATTCACCCTCTGCTGCAAGAGGAAGAGGGGGCAAGCAACTATGGGCTTCTCCAGACCAAGTAGTCGAGCAGGAATGTCTGGGAGCATGTGGTGGATCAGCTCTGTGGCTGTGGGGCAGTGGAGGTGAAGCCCCAGCAGGCACTGTTGAAGCTCAGCCACTGCAGTGCCACACACCCTGAGGACCAGGCTGATACAGGAAAAGCTGGATCTCCCCCTCCTGGAGAAGGAGGGAGGCTGGCTTGGAGCAGGGATGCTGGGCTTGGTGTCCTCTGTGGGATGCAGCACTGGAAGAGGGGATAGGGATGGGGTGGGCACGTAGAAGGAGCGCACAGGCAGGGGATGGGGATTGGGGCTGCTGTGAGGGGCTGGAGCTCTCAAGGCAAAACCCATCGCTGCAGAGCCCAGAGTTTGTCCTGGGCAGCCAAAACTTCTTCCTTGGCAAACTCACATGGTCAGAGTGGAAGTCAGTGAAGAGCAAAAGGGACATCAGAGCCCTGCTCACCCCAAAGGGACCTGTTAGCATCAGACACCATCATCTCAGGGAAGCATCGATCATAGAATCACAGAATCAACCAGGCTGGAAAAGCCCTTTAAGCTCATCCAGTCCAACAATTCCCAGCACTGCCAAGGCCACCACTAACCCATGGCACTGAGGCCTCGTCTCCACGCTGTGTGAACACTTGCAGGGACGGTGACTGCAGCCCTGCCCTGGGCAACCTGTTCCGATGCCTGAGCACCCTCTGGGGCAGGAATTGTTCCTCAGCTCCATCTAAACCTGCCCTGGTGCAGCTTGAGGCCGTTTCCTCTTGTCCCATCCCTTGTTCCCTGGGAGCAGAGCCCAGCCCCTCCTTGCTCCATCCTCCTGCCAGGCACTTGTAGGGAGTGATAACGGCCAGGGAAGCCCAGTGCGAGCATCTCTCGCAGTGCCCACTGTGTCGAGATGGAGCGGGTACCTGCGAGCACAGATGGTGAACTCCAACAGCAGCAGAATCGCAGAGATCATAATTATCTGAACATAATGAAGGGTTTCATTAAATACACTTGGAAAACAACTCAGCAGCCGCACAAAGTTAAACTGCCGGTCTCAACTCTCCAAACTATTTAAAATTTATTAGCTTCCCCTGCGGGTCTCAAGCTTTTAAGTACTGGAGAATTCGTGAAAATAAGGTATTTTTCCCTTTCTTTCCCCCATCTCTTTCCAATGCTTTTTGGCCTCCCAAAAATGTGTTTTTTTGGGAGGGGACAACCCACCAGCCTCCACTTTGTTGCTCTCTCCATCCCTGCAGACGTGTTTTCTCTCCCACTTCGCTCCCCATCACTGCTTCCCCTCCGCAGGCTGCTTTTCACTTGGGCTGCAGAGCGCATCCGTTTCCAAAGGGATGATCAAATCAGAGACACCTGCACGCTGATCCCCGCTAAATCCTGGACTCCAGACTGCAGGTGGTTCTTGTTGCAAAGGGATTAGTGGGAGGCTGAATAAACCTGGGTTTGATCTAGTGCTAACTGGCATGGGGTAATGCCCTTGGCTAAGATGAGATTTACCAAACTGTATCTCTTCATAATGTGTGAGGGGAGGCAGTGCTGGGAAGATGCTCTTTCCTGCTCAGAAAGAGAAATTCCTGGGTTTGGATAACAGCAATATCTCGGTGCTGGAGTCCAATCTGGATCTGTTATTCCTAATCTTCAGTCTCTACTGGAAGTCCTGAACAACCTGCAGGAGGGAGACACATGGGACAGGAGATGAGGAGTCACTAAAGTAAGGGAGTTTTGTCATTCAAAGACATTTTGAGCCCTGGAAGGGGGTATTTGGGGTTGATGTGACCACAGGGATTGGGGGACAGTGAATCAACTCCCTGCCATGGTGCTGGCAGTCTGGTTTGGGGTGCAACTGGTGGAGGTAAAGGGGAGATGCTGGGAGCGAGGAGGGCACACTGCTGCCTCGGCAGGGCTTTGGCTTCTTTCCCTGGTGCCCCATGCCTTGTCTGGGAGGTGGACCAGGAGCGGGAGCTGGGAGGAGAGGAGCACACATGGAGCAGGCAGCTGCTCCCCAGCCAGGGTCCCTCAGGCGCTGTGGCAACAGTGGCAAGACGTGGGCATCAGGTGCAGTTATCTGGCAATGAGAGGGGTTTCCCTCCAGGAATTAACGCGGGAGCAAAGCCAAGGCTGGGAGCACTGATCCGAGGAGGCTCTTCTGGGGGTGGTGTGCAGTTCCCTGTGCTGGGTCACTGCTCCGTGGTGCGTGCAATGAGCTGGCAGGTCTCAGCCTACTCCAGACCTGGAAAGTGGGGCAGCCAACACTTATAGGTAGAAAATGTCCTTAGAAACTGGGCTCAGTCTGTCCTACAAAGGTATCATAGAACCACGGATTGGTTTGGGTTGGAAGGGACCTTAAAGAGCACCCAGTTCCATCCAGGGACACCTTCCACTAGAGCAGCTTGCTCCAAGCCCCTGTGTCCAACGTGGCCTTGAGCACTGCCAGGGATGGGGCAGCCACAGCTTCTCTGGGCACCCTGTGCCAGCGCCTCAGCACCCTCACAGGGAAGAGCTTCTGCCTCAGAGCTCATCTCAGTCTCCCCTCTGGCAGGTTAAAGCCATTCCCCTTGGCCTGTCCCCCAGCACCCAGCCCGTTCTGGCTGCAGGACCAGGATGCGGTGCAGAGGCAGGAGGCAGGGAGGGCTGCGTGCTCCTGGAGCACGATTCCCATCTTGGCTCTGCATCACTCTGCATCGCTAATGCTGCCCTCTATTTGTACCGCCTGCAGTGTTCCCAGCATCCCTACAGGATGAGAGAGGAGGGAACGGTGCCCAGGGACCCGCCGGGAGGATTTTGCTACTGGCTCCGAGATCAAGAGCGTCATGAAAAGCCACTGTCCCTTTGTTAGAGCTCGCTAAAGAGAGCGGTCTGATTGAGATGGAAAACAAAATGCTCCCTTCTTCCTCCACACAAGCACATGCACAGCCCTGACTGTGCGAGCTCAGACCCCTCGTGTGCACCAACGCAGCTTACAGGTCACGTTGGATAGGGCTTGGAGCAACCTGCTCTAGTGGAAAGTGTCCCTGGATGGAACTCAATGAGCTTTAAGGTCCCTTCCGACCCAAACCATGCAATGATTCCAGTGCAGACAGCTGGCTCAGGGGGCTTTGGGGTCATTGTATTCCTCTCAGTTGGTTAAAAGGGGTGTCCCACACCAGCAGCATGGCTGCAGCGGCTTTCTGGGGGTGGCAGAAATCAGTGTGCAGGGGACACCAAAGCCCTGGGTGACCCTGGGGGAGGATCCTGACCCCGCAGCTCTGCTGTCTCTGCTCTCCATCAGTCCTGCCTAGGCGAGGCTGGGGTTCGGGTCTCCTTAAGGAGCAGCTCTGTCTCCACATCCAGTTCCCACTTCCTCATCCCCTGGGAGGCTCCGGTTGCTTTTGGAGCCATTCCCCCTCCATGCTGCAGAATAAAAAGGGATTTTACTTACTTGTTTTGGTCGTCCCCCCCTCCTCCCCCCATTAAGTCTGTGACTAGAACATTGTGGCTTTTAAGTTTATTCCAACTGTTTGATATTTTACATAATCGTATTATTTATGTGACAAGATTAGAAGTGCTCTGCATGCTGACAGGCAACCAGCGCACACGCGATCGCTTGCCAATCCTTCACGAATTTGCATTGTATTCCTGACTTCTTAGAGCCTGTGCAGATTGGAGCAGGGAGAGAGGTATGCAGGGAGACAGAGGGGGAAGGTGGAGAAGGCAGGAGGCAAGCTGCTCATCCGAGAGCTGTTGGCTCCCTCCTGTCCTTGGAGATCTCTCAGCCTTTGCTGCACCAGGTACCTGGTGCTCCGTGCCTGTCGCAATGGGGCTAATGGAGATACCTGGCCAGGCTTCAAACCCTTGGCCTCTAACAGCGAGTGCTAAGCACACAGAGGTGTTTGGTTTAATATCCCGCTGCTCGCCCGTGGGATACTTGATTTATTCTATGCCTGTAAACATTCATTTCACACCTAAACAGGGGCAGGTTCATCACTTCTGCAATCATCATTTATTCATGTCGGGAAGCTTGCAGGAAGCAGAGATAAATGGATTTCCGTGAAATTGGTGCTCCAGGCTGCTCGGGAGCCTCCATCCTTCTCACCGTGCTCCGGAGCGGGGTGAAAAAGCTTCCCTCTTCAGCTCCTCCACCCTGGTGCTCTGGCACGGCATCCTCCACGGAGCTGTGCCCTGCCTCGGGCCAGGATGCAGCGTGGATGGATGGAGGGCTCCAGCCCCAAAACCAGGCAAGAGACACTGGGCTCCCTCATCCCAGCACATCACAAGGTCTCAGCCCTGCTCATGGGACAGCTCGTGCAGAGATATCTTGCTGTGGGTCCTTGATTTGCTGGTTTCCCCCTGTTTTAGGGGAGCTTCCTGTTCTCTACATTAAGGCAAGCATTTGTTAAATATCCTTCTTTTTGTGGATGTGTGTGTAATATCCACCCTTTTCCAGAGGAAAAATCCCTGCCTTTTGTGCCCCATGCAAAGGACAACTGGCTGAAAGGGGCTAGTGCTGCATGAGACCTCACAGCCATCCTAGAGGCCACAGACTTAGGACCTTTCTGTACCTTCCCATGTCCATCAGGGCTGGAATAGACCTCTCCAGTGCCTACAGGACATCACATCCCTGATGAGGAATCCTGCATCCAGATGGCCCTCGGCCAACTGAAGCTCACCCAATGCACCCCAGGATGGCAGAGCAAAGCCCAAACCACCAGAGATGGATGTGCCCTCCTTAAATAATTCATGGCTTGAGCTCATGCTTGGCTTCCTTTGTTATCTCGTTACGAATGAAAAACTGAACCAAGATTAAAGAGCTCTGGCTCCGTTTCCAAATTTATGGGCATTTAAAGCGTGGTGTTGGAGTGCGTTGCTCCTCCGGCTGTTGTCAGGCTGATTCAGTGCAGAGCAGCGTGGGCACAGTGCTCCCAGCCAGCCCGGGGCATCACTGTGCTCAGATGTGTCAGACCAGGGTCAGCAGCCTGTACGCCTCCAGGGATGAGTGGATCCAGAGGGCTCACAGCCATGTGGCCATTGGACTTTGTGTAGTCCCCATGGTACCCAGCTTCCTCCTCCTCACCCCATCTAGCCCAGTGCATCCCCACCCTGCCCCTCTTTGCCACTCTCCACCTCTGAGCATCCCTCATAAGCTCATAAACCTTGCAATGCAAATTGGCTCTGACTTGGCTTTGCAGAGGCTCACCTTCTGGACTGGCCCCCCGAGAGGGCTAACTGAGATTTAGACCTTCAGTTTCTAAATGTCTGAAATTAGGTAAGATGGATCCACAGCTTCCCTGGCACCCTGTCCCCATGATTAATCACTGTCTGAAAGCAAAGCTGGGCTCTCCCTGCCTCCTAACTCAGCACCATTCTTCCTGGAAATGAAAGCTTCTGCTGTGTCCAGCTCTGCTGATGCCTGGGGCACCAGCGGGAGCCCAGCTGGCTCTGTGGAATCACACTGAGGTTGTGGCTGCCCCATCCCTGGCAGTGTTCAAGGCCAGGTTGGACGGGGCTTGAAGCACCCTGCTCTAGTGGGAGGTGTTCTTGCCCATAGCAGGGGGTTGGAGCTGGGTGAGCTTTAGGTCCCTTTCAACCTACACCTTTCTATAATTCTACGAATCTGAGGTGTAGTCAGTGACGTGAATATCAGGAGGACTCGTTGGATCAGATGATCCATGAGGCCCCATTCCATCATAATCTATGATTCTATTATGTTATCAGCTCAACTTTCAGAGCACTCATGAGGAGGTTGTTTGCAGACATCCCTGTTCCTATCAAACCCGTGACTGATGCTACATGCTCTCCAACACAGCTTTGGCTTGTTACATCCTATTTGTCCATCTGTAGATGCACAGGCGCCTTGTGCTCTGATAGCCTTCTCCTTGCCCAGGAAACCAGACCCAGATGATCCCTTCCTGTCACAGCAGTTCCTGACTTTTTATTTGGTGATGGAGGAGAAAAATACTTGTGAAAATCTCTTTTATGGCCAGCAGCCAGTAAGTTTCTGCCCTATACCAGTAAGTTTCTGCCCTATATTGTACTCTTGCCTCTTGGCTTGCTGCAGTGTTGGTAAGAACCAGGCAAAGGCAGGTAGCACCACTCATCAAGGGCAGCTCTGCCATTGATGCTAATGGATGCTGAGCCAAGATCCTCCCCCCATCAGTTGTTATCCTAAAATTAGCCTTTCCCAGGAAGGTTCGTGCTCGCATCCTGCATCGATGTCCATCTGACAGCGGCTGAACTGACTCAGAAATGAAGAGCACAGAGCAGACAGGGAGAGAGGAAAATAGCTCTAATGTAAAAATAAACGGTGTCCAGCCACCCACTGCGTCCAGCTGAGCTCCCAGTAGGGTCTCGCACGCCTGACACAGAGCAGCAGCTGCCCTTTCATTAGCAGCCTGCTCATTTTCTCCCCCTGCAGCTGAATTCCCGGTGGAAAATAAAGACTCAAAGTGACAGGAAGGAGCAAGAGCCCCCGACTCCAGTGCCTGGAGCGGGGGGGGATGCGCTGCCTGCCTCTTGCTGAAAGTGTGGGGAGGTGAAAAGAGCCCTTTGATCCTGCCCTGTCCCACAGCCCCTGTGGGAAAGGGATGGAGGGATCACTTCACCCCATCTACTGCTTCTGCAGGACCCCTCTGCCCTTCCAAGGCTCTGCTGCCTCTTTTCTCATCTTCCCACAGACAGGATCGTTCCGTGCTTCTGGGTTTGAACCGCTCTATTTATTCCCTGCTTGGTGGATGCCTCCTGGGGACACCACAGACTCCAGCCCTTTAGATCCAGGGTAACCAGGGTCACCCCCTTTCAGAGACACTGAACACCCCTACACATCCCATGATTCTGTGATTCTTCGTCTCCTATCTCCTATGCCCATGCTGTGAGAACAAGGAAGGGGAGGCTGGAGGAGCAAGGCTTGGGGTCTCACAGAGCTCTCTTTGTCCTGCGTTTCTGAACAATTCAGTTCAGCAGTGTGACAGGGGTTCACAGCCAGTGGGGTGCATGAAGGGTGCTAAGCTCCTCCAAAACGTTACACTGTGCTGAGTGCCCTTGAGAACCTGCTCTCTGGGTCTGCTCTGCTTGTGGACACAGACCTCAGTTCTTTATCTGGGTGCTGAATCTCCTGCTCAGTTGCCCACAGGGAACACAGAATAGTTTGGGTTGGAAAGGACCTTAAGATCATCCAGTTCCAACCCCCCTGCCATGGGCAGGGACACCTCACACTAAACCAGGTCACCCAAGGCTCTGTCCAACCTGGCCTTGAGCGCCGCCAGGGATGGAGCATTCACAACCTCCCTGGGCAACCCATTCCAGTGCCTCAGCACCCTCACAGTAAAGAACTTCTGCCTTATATCCAATCTAAACTTCCCCTGGTTAATTTGAACCCGTTACCCCTTGTCCTGTCACTACAGTCCCTAATGAATAGCCCATCCCCAGCATCCCTAAAGGTCCCCTTCAGATACGGGAAGCTGCTCTGAGGTCATGGAGATATTGCTGGAGGAGCCTTGGGTGCTGGAGCATCTTTGAACTTCACACCATGAGAGCAACCTCATGCCTCACTGCACTGCCCAGACATTAACCAGCCCTGCACCTTTCACATCCAGCCTTCAGAGCTGCTCCCCTGGAGTGAACTGGTGTCTATATGCTTAAAGAGTCTCCACATCTCCGGAATCCCCAGATCCAGAGTCCTATCCTTGTTCCCTTCGAAGCCCCACGGAAATGGCTCTCCTGACCTGCAGCAACCCAGCTGCACAAGGGGCAGCTTGTGCAACCCTTCCTTGCACCACTGGAATGGGTTGTCCAAGGAAGTTGTGAATGCTCCATCCCTGGCGATGTTCAAGGCCAGGTTGGACAGAGCCTTGGGTGAGATGGTTTAGTGTGAGGTGTCCCTGCCCACGGCAGGGGGGTTGGAACTGGATGATCTTAAGGTCCTTTCCAACACAAACCATTCTATGATTCTATTGGTGAGTGCTTATTCACATGAACCACCCACAGACATGGACGGGACTACGTGTGCTAGCAAGTGCTTGTGTATCTGAGCAAAGGCTGTACAATACAGGCAACGAGCAGGCAGAAGAAAGCCTTTAAGTCTTTCCAAAGTACTTTGTGGCTATGTAAGAGCTTAAATTTCCTGGTTCTCATTCTCTCCCTGAGAAGCCCACAGCAAGAGGAGCCCAGCACCATAATCTCGCTTCAACTCACCGAAACCAGCCGAGCAGAGGAGAAAAATGATTTAGATGATTTACAGCACTTCGGAAGAGTTGAAAAAAGTGAAGTAAATAATAAATCAAAACCAGCAAAAAAAGAACAAGAAAGCATCCATCTTTTATGAGCTCCATTCACTGCTGTATGTACAGTTCAGACATAAAACAAACGCGCCGTGCAAAGTTGCTGCTGCTTCAGAAGTGTCTGTGCCCAGCGGTTTCCAAGCACTTCCAAACTAAATAAAAGCAGAGGCAGAGGGAGGTGCAGGCGTTGTCTGCTGAGTGCAGGAAACCAGCTCCTATTCTCTGCCTCTTTATCAGCCTTCCGCATAGCCCAGCGTGGGGATGGTTTCAGCTGGGAGATGAGGAGCACAATGAATCCAGGATAAAAATGATGTTTTTCCCAGAAACCCCACATTTTCCCTTCAGGGGTCCTTGCCCCATTGAAATGGCTCCTGATGTGTTCATCAGCTGCAAAGGATGCTCTTGCTCTTATCACAAAGTCCTGCAAATGCTGCTGTCTGAAGGCTGCCCACGTCCCCAAAAGGTCCTTTCATCCACGTGCAAGAGCTCCCTGCAATACTTCCCTGGTAAAGGGGCTCCCATAGACCTGTTTCTGTGATGTGCCATTTGCCAGGCACAGTTACTGCCCGGGAGGCTGCTGAAGGGTGCATCCGGACCCTGATCTAAGAGTGGGTCACTCCACAGCAGAGCAATAGAAGCAAAAATATGGAAAAGGGTTAGCATAGAAATACCCAATTTACTGTTCTGAAAGAGAGAAAACTTCCCCAAATTATAGGTTAGCTTCCCAAGAACTGCAGGTGATGCAAACACCTATGGCCTCTATATCCTCTGTACCAAACTGATACCAAAGCTTCTCTTACAAACTGAGTCCAAACATGGGAAGTAGCAGCTTTAAGATCCTGGACAGAGGCAAACCCCTCCAAAGATGCTGACCCAAGAGACCCCTTCTCTTTAGGGCTGAAGTCTTGCAGGGACGCAGATGCATTTTTGGTGCATCTTTTACAGCCAACAGGAATTTGGATCCAAAAGGGCCAGCCTTCCACCTCCTTCACCCCAAGGGCAGCAGCCTGATGTGATGTGGCCAAGGCTAAGACCTGGACAGAACTTTTCTCAGTGGAGGGTCAAGGACCAGCCTTAGTGAGCAGAATGACTCTGTTCACATCCAGACTGTGCCTGAGGACCCACTGTGGCCCCTTGGACCTGAGGACTGCAGAAATGGAACATCTTTGGATCAGGAAATGGTTTCATCCTATATTTTCCCTATTGTGCCATTGGCTCTCAAGGGATATAATAGGCAGGCTTGAGGTACATCAGCTTTGAGGGACTCTCCCCTGGCCTGTCTGGCCCAGGGATGCACAGGGGACTCTGTTCACGTCCTAGTGAGCTCAGTGCAACAGAACACTCCCGTTCCACGTGGGAATGACAGGGACCACATGGATGAACTTTGCTGACATCCTCATCAGCTCTGATAAATCGTAGCAGATGTGCCAGGATCTGGTCACATCTGGGCTTGGAAGCTGCTCACCCACATCAGGGGCTGGGTGACACGGCCCGGTTTTGTCTTCTTTTAGGCAGGAAATCTGAAAGACCACGG